ACTCAAACTGCAGTCGACTACATGGGAGTCCAGCGACACAGCCATTACGCTAACTGCTGGTGTCCCCTTTTATACTTTTAATACATATTATTTTACTTAATTTTCACAGCAGTCCATTGTGCAGATGAGAAAACTGGGTCAGAGAAGTCAAGTATCTTGCCCAATATGACATAACTAGTGAGCAACAGGGTCAAGACTGAAACTAAGAGGGCCTTTCAGAAACAAGGATGTGACCATGTGAGTGGCACAAGGCCCTGATGACAAGTATAGGGAGTGTGTTAACTAGAAGGAAGAGATGGCATGGATTCAGCAGGTCAGGGGGTTCTCTTTTTTTAAATTATTTAACTTTATTTATTTGTTTGTTTTAATTTGACCAGAGAAGGACAGAGAGAGAGAGAAAATGAGAAAGCAAGCCACCAGGTTAGGGACTCGAACCTTAGTTGGCTATGTGGAAGTCCAGCACCCTTAACTACGATGCCACCTGCCGGCCCTGGCCAGGGAGTACTTAGCTCTGCGTGCTGGGAAGCTCAAAATCGAGGAGGAGAGTATCTGTGTAGACAGGGCCTGAGAACATACCTGTCCTCAAAGGTAACACTTTACAGCAGGTGCCTGGTGGGGAAGGGGACTGTGGGTCTAACTGACTTCTTACATAGTGCTAATGCTAGTGTGTCCTTCAATATTTTGAAAATTTTCAGATATATAGAAAAATTAAAAGAATAGTTTTGAGAATGCCACATACCTTTTACCTAGATTCATCATTTAACCCCATGCCACTTTTTCTCTCTTTCGTTGTTTTGTCTATATACTTTTTTCTGTACCATTTAAAAATAAGTTGCAGGCATATTGACTCTTACCTTTAAATATTTTTAAGAATTATTTTATTTCATTTCATTTATTATCATCATCATTATCAGTTTAATCTGACCAGAGAGAGAGGGAAAGTAGGAAAGCAAATCTCCAGGTCTGGGACATGGACTACAGTCTTCCATGTGGGAGTCCAATGCCTTAATCACCACACCACCTGCTGGTCCCACCTTTAAATATTTTAATGTTTCTGGTAAGAATTCTATATAGGGGCTGACAGGTGTAGGGGAGGTAGCATGGTGGTTAAAGGCACTGTACTCCCACATGGCCAACCGCGGTTCTAGTCCTGGACCTGGCAAATGTTTGCTCTTTCTCTCTCTCTCTCTCTCTCTCTCACACACACACACACACCACACACACACACACACACACTCTTCCTCTCTGGTCAAAACTGAAAAATAATGATAATAAATAAATAATTCTAAAAACAAAGAATTCTTTTATATAACCAAAGTATCATTGCCACATCTAAGAAATTTGACAGTTATTTCACAGTAATCTAATACACAAGGGGTTTTTTTAAGTTTACGGGGCTGTTCCTATAACACAGTAGTTAAGGGAGCTCAATTCCACATGGTCAACTACAGTTTGAATCCTGTCCCCATGGCTTAGAAAACGTAATGGGTACAGGGCATGGTGACACCCGCCCTATGGCAGAAAATGTACTGGGTACATATGCACGTGTGCCCAAAATTCTGATAGGATAGGGAGATAGAAAAGGATTGAGCTGACAGGTGGCGTGGTGGTTAAAGGTGGTGGACTCCCACATGGCTGACACAGTTCAAATCCTGGACCTGGTGGCTTGCTTTCTCTCTCTCTCTCTCTCCCTGGTCAAATTTAAAATTAATAATAATGATAAATAAAGTAAAGGAAATAATTCTTTAAAAGAGAGAGAAAGAGGGAACCAGCAGTTAGCGTAATGGCTATGTCGCTGGACTCCCACGTAGTTGACCGCAGTTCGTGTCCCGGACCCGGTGGCTTAAAACTCACGCCGGGCGCGTGTGCGTGTGTGCCCAAGATCCCGAGAGGAGAATGGAGGAGAAGGGATTGCGGTGTGACCATCCCCCCTGGGGGGTGATTTCTCGCTTTCTGTCTCTATGTCTCTCTCTGTTCACTCAGAATTTTTTTTTTAATTTGCTATAGGGTGCATGAGTTTGTCAGAGAGAGAGAGAGAGAAAGAGAAAAGGATTGAGGTGCAACCATGCCCCATTAGTAGGTTCTCTCTTTCTTACTGGCAAGCGTATATACTCTCTGGTAATTTGTAAAATTTTTAAAAAAGGTTATTAAAAATGCCTATTATGAAAAACTATGTGTGGATTTCAACATTTTTGCACCAAAATACACAGGTACTTTAATTCCATTTTTTTTCGTGAGCTTCTTTTTTTTTCTTTTTTTGTCCAAAATCAAATGTCAATTGTTCCCCAAAAAAGAAAAAATAAAAGGAAAAATCACTTGGGCCGGCCCTGTGTCTTGGTAGTTAAAGAAGCCAGATCCCACATGGCCAGCCAGGCATTAGAGCCTTTGGCTGGACATGTGTGCATGTGCCCCAATTTTTTTTTTTTTAAGCAACAAATATCACTCATGGCTATTTCCTTTTTCAATCCAAAATCGAATCCAAAGTTAAATCAGCATTACATTTGGTTGCTGTGTCTTTAGGCTTTTTAAAAGGTCTTTGCCTTTTTCCCCATGGCATTAACTTTTTGGTTGAGTTAAGGCCGGTTATCTTGTAGAACAACTGACATTCTGGATTTGCCTGATTACTTTCTTTATGCTTAACATTTTTGGCAGGGATGAATGCTACATGAATAATGCTATTGGTGTTGGGTAGATTTTGAAGAGTCAGGGTGACCTTTGGTTCATTTAAATATCTGTCTTGCTCAGAGGTTCTTAACTGGGACCATGATTAGGTTTAAGAGAAATTCTTGATACACACCCCACACACCTAACTTATATATTCATTTTCCTGTTATTTGCATTTTCCGAGTGGTGGCTTCTTTGCTCTTATCAGAGTACTCCATGACACAAAAAGGTTAAGAACACTAGTCAGGGGGCCAGCAGGTGGCACAGTGGTTAAGACACTGAATTCCCACATGGCCGACAACTCAGACCAGAGTTGTTCTGGTTCCAGAAACCAGCAACTCAGAAATCACTCTGGGCAGGCATGCGTTCATGCCCAAACTCTTAAGAAGAGAAGGAATTGTGTGATCATGTCCCCTAGGGGAAGATTCCTCACTTTAACTCTTTCTGTATCTCTCTGTCTCTCTCTCTCTTCTCTGGTGAGCATACCTGCCCTATGACAAAAATCTAAAAAATTTTAAATAAAGAAGAGAAGAATATCTAGTCTCTGGCCTGTCAGATTTGTCCTTCTCTGCTTTCGGACCAGAGTCCTCCACTGTAACCATGCTCCACCACACCCTAAGCCAGGCCATGAAGCATCTGAGTTTGGAGCTGGAGGTACTGGAGAAGTGCTGCAGCTCGTGCACTTGGCAATCTTCAATCCCGATGTCTCTTGGGACAGAAAGAATAACCATGAACCCTGGAACAAACCGGGTCCCTATGATCAATACAAGTTTTACGTAGTGAATGTGCATTATAGCAAACTGAAGAAAGAAGGTCCAGACTTCTAAATGAAATGTTTTATTCACTGTAAGACTGCTCATAGTGAAGTTCATCCAGAAGCCGTCTGCACGTTTTCCACTTAACCAGAAAATATTTCTCCTCTAAATGCATGAAATCATTCTGATGTGTTCAGATTTACACTGGTTAATAAATATCTGAAACTTGGGGGGAAGAAAAAGAAAGAAACACTAGTCAGCCCCGTGAGGCAGGCACCACAGAGCTGGTTTCTGGTCCTTGGTCACTTGGAACTGTCTTTCTTTAGGGTGCTAGCACTAAGTGGTAACGTTCCTAAATCCTCATTTTGGATCAGAGAGAGGACTGTCTTTTTTGTTGTTAGAGCTGGGAACCAGGAACAGCCTCTGTGGCCTGGCTCCAGGGGTTCAGGAGAATTTCTCTTCTTACCTTCCCTTTCAGGTGTTCAGAATGCCAGGATTCCCTTACCAACTGGTACTATGAGAAGGATGGGAAGCTCTACTGCCACAAGGACTACTGGGGGAAGTTTGGGGAGTTCTGCCACGGTTGCTCACTGCTGATGACAGGGCCTGCTATGGTGAGTGAGTCTCTTCACTTCTGTCCTTCTTAGACATCAGAGTAAGCTGGGATCACTTCCGTTTCCTGGTAGCCATTCACTCTTAGTCTTTCCATCAGCCAGGGCCTTTCCCTTTATTTACTTATTAGTTCAGCCAACTGAGCACCTGTTAAGTAGCAGGTAGGAGTTGTCCCCCAAAGACTTACCAGTCCGGTGTGGGGAGTGATTGAGTAGATAGGGAGGGAGGAGAGACAGCACAGTCGGATAAGAACCATAGAGGACAGTGTTAGAGGTGGAGAGGAGGACACACCGAGATCATGGAATCAAGGAGGAGGAAAAAAAAGCAAAACACATAGGAAACAAGAAATGGAAAATTATTTGTTGACGAAAACATGTATGTTGATGTGCTTGATTGAGCTAATATACAGTGTACTCTGGATGGAAAATCTCATTTTGTATGTTGTAATGATGTACAGTGAATGAATGTAAATAAATACATTTAAATTAAAAAGAAAGAAAGAAAATCAGCCTGGAAGCCTCTGGAATGGGCTGGCAGAGGGAGGTTCTGCCTCCCATACCTACTCTCGGCAAAGGGCTTTGGCATAGTCTCAGACTTGCTAGTCATGCGTGTAGAACCTGGGAGCCTTTACAAGGAGGAAGATTACTTCTGGGCCCTATTTCCCATGACTGAGACCAAAACAGTTTCTTGTAGTCTCAGAAGTAACGGGAGGCTATAGGGATTGAATGTATAAAGTAAGTTAAAGGAAAAAGTAACAGGAGACGACTGTTGGACACTTGGGTTGAGAAGTCTGGGACAGGGTAGATTTTGACTAGGGTGCATCAGTCCTTGATTAAAGGTCTCTCACCTACCTCTGCCCCATTCCCTACAGCAATGGTATCTCACGATCTGCCTCGGTGCACCCTTCTTTCCTCCTGCTCTCAGGTGGCTGGGGAGTTCAAGTACCACCCAGAGTGCTTTGCCTGCATGAGCTGCAAGGTGATCATCGAGGATGGGGATGCATATGCCCTGGTGCAGCACGCCACCCTCTACTGGTAAGGCGGTGGCCCTGTGTCAGTCCTCCTCCACTAGAGCAGCCAGGCCAGGAGAGGAGAGAGGGACGGGCGGTAGCATGAGTTGGGCAGAAGGACTGTTGGGGTGGTCAGAGCACGGGAGTCCTGTCACAGCAATGGTTTTCACCGACTCTGTTATCCATAAGCAGGACAGCTAACACGTTTAACCTCTGAGCCTTACCTACCATGAGCGTAACCTCACTGTACTCTGTGATCCTCCCGGAGACAGGAATGGGTGGGATGGCGCTTTCCAGAACATTAAAGGCAGAGGCCCTTTAGAATTTATCTAGCTCACTCTGTTCAACTTGGTTGACAAAAGAAGTCAGCCTGAGGCCCAGGGAGTAGAAGGGGGCTGGGGTGAGGTTCTCACTGTAAGTCAAAGACAGAGCAGAAAGAACCCAGGCTGTCTCACCGCAGGCCAGTGTTCTTCCCTTCTACCCCTTGGTGCATCACCCCTGGTCCCAGCACCCCTGAGAACCCAGGATTCTCCTTCTGAACAGTCAGTTGGGATCATGGCACAGAGGGTGGTAGTGACACTGTGGGCTCGATAGCTTAATAACTAGTGGTTGCTGAGAGGCTTCTGGATGGGACTGCAGGCTCTTAGCCCCCTTTGTGCTCTGTCCTCAGTGGGAAGTGTCACAACGAGGTGGTGCTGGCACCCATGTTTGAGAGGCTTTCCACGGAGTCCATTCAGGACCAGCTGCCCTACTCTGTCACGCTCATCTCCATGCCAGCCACCACGGAGGGCAGGCGGGGCTTCTCCGTGTCCGTGGACAGTGCCAGCACCAACTATGCCACCACCGTGCAAGTGAAAGAGTGAGTATTTTGAAAACTCTGCAGTAGGGGTTCTAGAGCAGAGTCCACAGGCGGGCCTCAATGGGCCTGGAACTCCCAGACTTTATGCAGAACTCCCTTCGTCCTCATTTCTTTCTCCTGAAGCTCACTGTCCTGGGTGCTGGGACTTACTGCTCTTTCCGCCTGGGCGGCTTCCTGCCAGATACTCAAGACCAGGACCTCTCGCCTTTCAGGTGTTAGTTTCAGAGCATGTTTGCTCTTAGAAATTTCTGGCTCGATTATGTGTCATAGTTTTTCATCTATCCTCCTCACCAAATATAAATCCAGAAGGAACTTGCTTTGTCTTGCTCAGTACTACCTCCCTAGGGCCTGCAGCAGTGTCAAGTACATAGCAGGTAGTCATGGATTATATTTGGTTGAGTGAATGAACGGAGAAAGAGGAGAAAATGAGGTCCGTGGCCCAAAGAGCTTAAGACCCCATACTAGGTCCCATACTAGGTCCAGACTGGAGACCAGATGAGGAAAGAGTCCGTGCCCAGCTACCAGTAATGAGGCACCTGTGACTAGGGATGATGGGCCTACCGCGTGCTCGACAGTGGGCCAGCACTTGCAGTATAGGTCCTAGGTGTGAGGTACCAGGGTTGGGGAAGTTGGGAGGAGGTGAGGTGGACTTGACAGCCTCATTAGAAGAGAGGTGGGAACTGTGTTCAGGGCAGAGGGAGAAGCAGCATGTCTCCAGAGGTGTGAGTCTGTGGCTATTTTTGGTGTAGACTGGGTGGTTGGAAGTAGCCAGAAAAGGGCTGCTAAGTATGGAAGACCTGAATTAGGCAGATCTAACCGTTCCATTGAGGGGTTTAAGCAGCAAGGTGAGCCATTCTGTTAGTATTTCCGGAGGGTCACAAGGGGGAGGTTGGAGGGGAGAAGAAAGAGCCTGGAGGTTTAGAGAGCAGTTGAGAGGCTGTTGCAGTGATCTTGGTGAGGGATGTTGGTAACTATGGTGATGGAGAGAAGGCAGGATTCTCAGAGATGGGAGGGGCGGGGTGGAAGGTTGGGGCAGGGGTAAGAGAACTTCAGGTGGGGGAGATGATGTCCCCGTTTCTGACTTAGGCCCCTGGGTGAGTGGCAGTGCCCCTCACTGAATGGGCATCTTGAGAAGGGTATTGCCTTCTCTGTGAGTGGCGTGGGCGAGTGGGGGCCTGGGGCTTGGCGAGCCTTTCTCGCACAAGCAAAATTGTTCAGGCAGTTTTTTAGGACGTCTTCACCCTGTCTCAACTCTTATCTGGCACAGGGTCAACCGGATGCACATCGGTCCCAACAACCGCAATGCCATCCACCCTGGGGACCGCATCCTGGAGATCAACGGGACCCCTGTGCGCACGCTTCGGGTGGAGGAGGTAAAGTGTGTCTTCAGTTCGTCTTTTGGGGACGGGACATGAAACAGACCCCCTGGAGACCAGTCTATGGCCTTTATACCTTTCCTTCTCCCAGCCTATCTCTTTATCTTGGCACTGAGCCTGTGAGCACTGGTGTCCTGTGTCAGCCTGGCAGATTCCCAGGGCAGCAGGGAGGGCGTGACAGACGGGGGAGCTGACAGAATGCCAGGCAGAGGGCACTGTGGGGCTGGCAGCTGGAGGCCACCATCAGCCAAGTTGAGCATTAGCCACACTGTGCTTGGATCATCTGGCTTGGCGGTGGGTGGCCCTGGGATGGGGCAACCCTGAGGAGCCTGCCTGACACTGCCCTTGGCCACAGGTGGAGGACGCAATTAGCCATACGAGCCAGACACTTCAGTTGCTGATCGAACATGACCCCGTCTCCCAGCGCCTGGATCAGCTGCGGCTAGATGCCCGGATCTCTCCCCACATGCAGAATGCTGGGCATTCCCACACTCTCAGCACCCTGGACACCAAGGAGAATCTGGAGGGGACACTGAGGAGACGCTCCCTGAGGTGCCATCTCCCACCCCAGCTCGCTTCTGTTCCATGTCTGTCCCTTAGATGAGACTGAGCTGGCCTTTGGAGAACAGCAGAGAATTAGAAAGGGACCAGCTGGCCAGGGCCAGACCGTGAGGATTGTGCTGACCCAGCCGCCCCCATGGGCATCACAGTTCACAGCCAGGGCCTGTGCAGACCCAGCTGTCTGCCAGGTTTCCTTAGGAACCGGAAGGTCAGGCTCTGTCCACTGGGCTTCTGAGCTAGACCCTTCAGGGCAGCATGGCCTGCAGAAAAGTGGTGGGTCTCAGAACCTGGAGAAGGGATGCAGGATTGAAGCAGTATGCAGGAAGTCTTTGAAGACAACCAAGCAAGAGATAAACACAGGTTGTTTTAGACTTGAGGGGCCAACAGCCCAAACCTGGCATCGTCTAGATCCATGGGGAGGGAGCAGGCCTTAAGTAGGGAGCCCTACAGAACAGACATCAGGAGCACTGGCTTCAAGCTGAGCTCCCTCCCTCCACAAATCCCTTTATCCCCTGAGCCTCTATTTCTGCATCAGTGACGAGGGATTGCAAGATACAGGAAAAGACGTCGAAGTTATATAGAGCCAGCAGGGGCTCAGTGGCTGGGAAATTTGAGGTATTGTTAGCATCACTAGGAATCAGATTCCTTATCCACCCTCCTGACCAAACAGTCAGACAGGACCCTCTCAGCTGGTGTGGGTCAGAAATAGGGCCCTCCCCAAGGGTTGCTGTCATCACTCCTGGGCTTCCTCTTGCTTTGGGTCAACCTGATTGAAGTGGTGGAGCAGGGCCTTTTCCAGAGGTAAAAAAGGGCTGGAAATGGCTTGGCCCAGAAAAGGGAAGATATGGGGTGGCCAGAGAGCTGCTTAGGTTCTGGAGGGCCATCATGCAGAAGAGGGATTGCTGTCCTTGTGTGCTGGGGTAGGCACACTCAGTGGGTGGCAGAGCAGAAGAGCAAGGGCAAGCAGACCCGGAGTCATCCAGCCTCAGTCCTCTTTTTTCTTTTCTACAAGTCAAAGTAACAGCCATCAGCCGTGATTACAGGCCACTTTTGAAAACGCAAACATACTGGCTTTATTGCTAAAAAGATCACATATGCTTATTATCTTAAAATTCAGGAAATAAATACAGGTACAAAGGTAATTAAAATGTCATCCCAAACCCCATTTCCTCTGTTTTTGGACGCTATTAAGCAATGACTAACCCAGTGTTACCTTGAACCAAGCAGATGTGAGAGATGGTGGATTGCCATCTGCCGTGTTGTCAGGTACTGGGCATTATAAGAGAGGAACCTCGTTCAATGTTGAGGTGGGAAGGACTCAGCATTCCTGTTCTCAATGTGTTTTCATTATGCCTAAATAACTCCTGAGGTCTGCAGCCCCCGAACAGCACATCTCTCTGATGAAAGAGCCCTCTGTCCCACCCCCCCACCCCCCGTGTCATTTAAACTGCAGACATTGGTTCCTGCTCCAGGGTTTTCTGGCGGGTCTCTGAGGACTACCTATCCTACCTTCATCTTTCCTCATCTGCAGACGCAGCAACAGCATCTCCAAGTCCCCTGGCCCCAGCTCCCCAAAGGAGCCCCTGCTGCTCAGCCGGGACATTAGCCGCTCAGAATCCCTCCGCTGTTCCAGCAGCTACTCTCAGCAGATCTTCCGGCCGTGTGACCTGATCCACGGGGAGGTCCTAGGCAAGGGCTTCTTTGGGCAGGCCATCAAGGTGAGCACAAGCAGCAGCGGCTTCCCACTTCTGCCACCAGCCCTTTCTTGCCTTCTTTCAGGGCGTTCTGATCACATGGTTCACCCACATCGTACAGAACGCTGGGCCTCCTTCCTTTCTGCGGGTAATGGTGTTAGGGGTGTTCCCCCACCTTCTACCCAGGCCACTAAGGGCAGCATTGCTGTTACAGTGGGCTTGTGGTCCTACAGACCCAGGTTGGGATGAGCAGTGCCCGAGACCTTTGTTCCTGTAGTCAGCAGATGTGTGTTAGGCACCCACAGGCCTCAGCGCTGGGCCTGCTGTAAGGAGCACACAGGGGAGTGGCTCCTGCCTCCCTGGGAACAGTCTCAGGGACTAACTTCTCTCTCTTTTTCTCCTCCTCCTCCTCCTCTGCTGAGAGCTGGGAGGGGGGGTCAGGTAAGCCGTATATCTCAGCTTGTGGGGCAGTGGGACTGGGGAGCTCACTCTCGACCCACCTAGCTCCCTGGTGCATGTCTGTGGCACTGACCCTGCTGTCTCGACTTCTGTTCACCCAAGAGACTCACTCCCGTGCCAGATGACAGAGCCCCTGCTTGGCTTGGCCGTGTCCCCTCCTGCCTCCTTCCCCACTTTGCCTCTCTAGGTTCTTGCCTCCCTCCTCTGCATGCCCAGCTCTCCATGGAAAAGGGTGTGCTTCCTTCCGAGTCCCTTGTCAGCCCATGCTATGTCTTCTACACTTGAATCTGTCAGCCTGGTTCGGCTCAGCGTGCCTTCCAAGGGATGGGATGGCCACTTGCAAAGATGTTCACAAATGTTTCTCCAGAACTGCCTCTGATCGCTGCAGTGCTAACCATCCCCCCCCCTCCTTATAGGTGACACACAAAGCCACCGGCAAAGTGATGGTTATGAAGGAGTTAATTCGATGTGATGAGGAGACACAGAAGACTTTTCTAACTGAGGTAAGAGGATGGGTGTAGTTTGGTGTCATGGAAAAGGAAAGACCTTACAAATAATGCTTTCAAAAGGAAACTTAGTTTGGAAACACTGTCTTAAAGGCTATGCGGAAAAGAGTGCTAGAGGAACGTCCTCACACCTCTAAATCACAGCATAATCATTTGTTCAATGAACACTTACTAATGACAGTATGCTGAGGGCAAGGGATGAGAAAAGATGTAAGATGTGCTTCAGAGGAGCTCACAGATTCAGCATATAAGCAGAACAAGTTAGTACACTCGGTGTTACAGTCAGTACCAAAAATCCCACTAAGGGAGCCTAGAGTGGGGGCTCCCAAAGAACTGATACCTCATGAGCAGCTGCATGGTTTTCCCTGCTCCTTCCAAGTTGCTCCCTGAGCAGCCTCAGTTGGGTACACCTGTGGGCCTGGAGCTCCCTCCAAGCCATCGTCTCACTCCAGTGCAGCTTCTAGAAAGGCAGGGTCTCCCAGGTGTGAGGCTAGCCCCACCCTCATGGAGGTATTCTGCCCTCACCCTAGTCTTAGCGCCCTACCATGTCACGTAAGACAGGAGGCAGCACTTGCCAAGCTGACTGCACGGAGGGAAGGAGTAGGAAGACATAGTAGGAAAGTAAGTGTCCACCCTCCTTGCCTTCCTCCTACCCAGGTGAAAGTGATGCGTAGCCTAGACCACCCCAACGTGCTCAAGTTCATCGGTGTGCTGTACAAGGACAAGAAGTTGAACCTGCTGACAGAGTACATTGAGGGGGGCACGCTGAAAGACTTTCTGCGCAGTGTGGTGAGCACACACCCCTAGTCACCAAAAGCCTTGGTGGGTCGTCAGTTGGACACCTGTGCCACCACTGCCTTAGAACCACAAAGGCCATGGGGGCTACCTGCTTTGACTCCAAAGGACCATGTTGGGTGGGAGTGGGCACAGATAGGAGCTTCACGGGCCGACCATGCTGACCATGGGGCCTGGACTACACATGGGACAAGGCCTTGTGGTCTCTGACAGCATTCCTCATCCCACAGGACCCGTTCCCCTGGCAGCAGAAGGTCAGGTTCGCCAAAGGCATCGCCTCTGGAATGGTGAGTCCTAAGTACCGTGCCAATCAGGCAAGAGTAGGGAGAGGTGTCAGGATTGCCGCTGCACCTGGGAGGCGTGACCCATCCTGAGCAGCTAATGTGGGCTGGGTCTCTCAGCAGCTTCTCTGTGCCAGTGAACTTGCCCCCAGCCAGCTGTTCTGAGCTCACAGCCCTATTCTCAGAATTCGATTTCTAAGGGCAGACAGGGCGCGGACAAGGCAAAGTAGAGTAGCATGAGTTGTCCAGGGCTTGCTGTCACAGAGACATCCAGCGCTGAGGGCTCTCAGAGCAAGCAGAGTGCCTGAACACTAGGAAATCAGAGAAGGGAGAGGGAAGTGAGTTCTGGATGAGCCCTGAAGGGTGGGTCAGAATTGGATCAAAGTTTCAGAGAGACCACAGTTGGAAAGATGGCAGCAGAGAGAGATGTGAGAAGAGAGAACTCTTTTTAGGTTTATTCTTTTCTGTCATGAATAACCAACCACAAATGTGGGAGAAGAACACCTTTAACAGGGTCTCATCATACCGCAGTCCCCTTCCGTGCCCTCCAACTCACCAGGATCTTAGGTGAACATGCGTGCACCCAGCGTGTTTTCGGGTCCACTTGGGATCAGAACCCATAGTCAGCCATGTGGCTTCCAGCACTTCATACACTACCACCTATGCCACAAAAGGCCAAAACAACCTATTTTACCTGAGAACCATGATTCTAGACATAGCAGTAATAAGAGCTGACCAGCACTGAGCTAATAAGCATTAATATGCACGAGCTTGTTTACTCCTCACAACAACTCCTGTTTCCAGATAAGAAGCTGAGGCTAGGAAGGGACAGAGCTGGGATCTGAGGCTAGTTGGTCTAACTGCCAATCCTGAGATTTTTTTTTTTTTTTGAGAGGTTTTTGCTCTAGGGCGCATGCACTCAACTGAAAGAGAGAGACAGCAAGCGAGAAATCACCTCCCGGGGGGATGGCCACACCACAATCCCTTCTCCTCCATTTTCCCAGGATCTTGGGCACACATGCACACGCGCCCGGCGTAAGTTTAAGCCAACAGATCTGGGACTTGAACCATGGTTGACTACCTGAGAGTCCAACAACAGAACCATTATGCCAGCTGCTGGTCCCCAATCCTGAGATTTTAACCACTACTTCTTATATGGGGTTTGTGAAGATAGCATTAGTCTGAAACAGTAGATAGGGGGTAGGTTAAGGTCCCTGCATCTCAAGCTAAGGAATCTATCTGTACCCAGGAAATCAAAAAGACAGATTTAAAAGATGATTAGAAAGTGTTGCCACTGTAGATCAGCCTTGTAGCCTAGTGGAAACCAGATGCCACATGGTCAGCCATGATCTGAGTCCCAGCCCCAGCAACTTGAAAAACACTGGACGTGTGTGCATGCATGGCCAAATCCTGACAGATAGAAGAAATGGAGGAGAAGGGACTGTGGCGTGACCTCGCCTCATTGGAGGATGTTTTCTCCCTCTCCCTCGCTGTCTCTGTCTGTCACAGAATGCACATATCCTCTAGCAATTAGAAAGAAAGACAAAGTTTGTGACCAGAAATGTGCATTTTCCAAAGATGAGTCTGCTGTGGTCAGTAGGTTGGGGTAGGGTTGGGGGGGGGGGTCTCAGGGCGGGGATACATGGGTAGGGGACTAGTAGTGGCTGTGGGAAAGGAGACTAAGAGGCAGGGTGAGATCAGAATGGAGATCAGAAACATCTGGGTAGGAAAAGGGAGAGGGGTTAAAGTGCAGACAGAGAATGAGGAAGGCGCTGTCTCAGGGGAAGTGAATGTCAGGAACACAGAGGCAGCTGGACCAGGAGGTGATCACGGCGGGGAGACATGGGTAGGGGACTAGTAGTGGCTGTGGGAAAGGAGACTAAGAGGCAGGGTGAGATCAGAATGGAGATCAGAAACATCTGGGTAGGAAAAGGGAGAGGGGTTAAAGTGCAGACAGAGAATGAGGAAGGCGCTGTCTCAGGGGAAGTGAATGTCAGGAACACAGAGGCAGCTGGACCAGGAGGTGATCACAGGCAGGAAGGACCCAAGGTGGCTAAAGCCAGAGACTGAGGGGGGAGGAAGATGGCCTGGATTTCAGTAACGTGGGTAGAGGTGCTAGGGGCTGCAAGGGCCAGGGCCCAGTGGAGTCAGGGACTTCGGAGAGAACAGCGGGTGGTGGTAGCTGGTGAACAAAAGGATGATCAGGAGCTAGCACCGGGGAGGGAGAGGAAGCCCAGGGCACCTCTGTTTTTCTGTTAGTTTCAGCGCCTGCAGGTGGGCCTGGATGCTGTTGTCCAGGTCGGGTTCTGAAGCTGGGTAGGGCTAGCTTGGGCGAAGAGCAGGTTCTGTGGCTCCCAGTTCTGAAGCCAGGGTCCGGTTGATGTGCTGAGCCTTTGGCCTCAGCTCGTGCTTCTGTTCCAGGCCTATTTACACTCCATGTGCATCATCCACCGGGATCTGAACTCACACAACTGCCTCATCAAGTTGGTATGTCCCACTATCCTGGGCCGGCCCTCCTGGCTTCCCTGTCCCCTCTCTCTTCAGGCCAGCGGTGTCACCCAGGGGCTCCTGTCTTGCCCATCCTGCTCTCTCTGACGCCTCCTCTGTGTTCTGGGAGTTCCTGAACATGCAGACAAAATTCCACCTCCTCTCGGTAGCAGCCTTTGAAATCACTTGATTGGAAGAGTTTTCAGAAGTTCTTTAACTATACACAGAGCCCTGTTGCTTTATCTGGTTTTGCCCTGTAATCATCCTGTAAAATTCATTACTGATCCCATGGTACAGTCGTGGCACCTGAAGCCTCATCCTGGGGCCACAGAGCTAGTAAGTGTACAGTGCCCGGTATGACGTGGCCATTCCTCCCACTGCCCCTCAGCTGTTGCTGTGTCAGTGTTGTTTCTCCTATCGACTTGCAAACTGGCTTCCTGAATGTCCACCACTGGCCTGGGCTCCACCCTCTGGGCCTATACCAAGCCATCTTAATCCCCTTTCCACGTGACTGCACTGTAGCTATTTGAAGAGTTCATCTCCCCCAAGTCTCCCCACTGACTGCCTCCGTGTTGTCTTTTTCTGTCTTGTTCTGGTCCTAGCCACTGCCACAAATCTTTTTTAGGAACAGGACAGGACAGGGAAAAACAGAAGGAAAGAAACATCCTGTCCTTCCTCTGAGTTCTTTCCAGATCCCAGAGCCTTACCCCTCTGGGCCCCCAGTGGCTCAGCTGGGAACCCCTAGTGGTCAGATACCACTCTGTTAGAAAGACAAACGCTGGTCCCTGCTACCAGATAGAACTTTCTGCTGTAACTGCTGTGCCCCTTTTCTCCCTTTCTCTGTGGCTTCTCTTGCCTATGCCCGCACCCTGGGGGCCAGGTTTGCGAACATCCCCACCAGGTTCTGACCTGGCCTTGTCGTACCCCAGGACAAGACTGTGGTGGTGGCTGACTTTGGGCTGTCACGGCTCATAGTGGAGGAGAAGAAAAGGCCCCCGGTGGAGAAGACGACCACCAAGAAACGTACCTTGCGCAAAAATGACCGTAAGAAGCGCTACACAGTGGTAGGAAACCCCTACTGGATGGCTCCTGAAATGCTGAACGGTGAGTCCAGAAGCCCTGCAGGGGACAACCCCCAGAGAGAAGACAGAGGCCACATCTTACAGGGGAGCGAGCCCCAGGAACTCCAGGGGAGGCCTCTGACATGGAGGGCCAAGTACCCAGAGCTGAGAGCTGGATGATCATCCTTGCCAGGCCAGGCCCAGAAACTGCTTTTCTCTAACTTTTGGACCAAATGTAACCCTTCTTGGTCCCTCTCTGTTCCCTCTTCCCAAGGAGGAAGAACTGAGAACTGGTCAGTGTCTCATGCTGGGCACAGGATATGGCTTTTATGCCCCCAGCGTAGCTGAGAGCTCAGGTTATTTGTTGCACTGGCTCCAGCCTTCTCTCCGCACCGAGAACTGGAGTGTGGTGCCCCCTGGTGGATAATGGTCAGATCAGCCACAGATGCTGCCTGGAGTTGTTGAAATGCAGGGTTGTGAGGCCTCAGAAATGGCCTTGATACAGCCTTTTTGGAGCCTGAGGCCCAGAGGAGTCCGGTGGTTTTCTCAGGAACATGTAGCTGGCTGATAGCAGAGCCCGCATAAGCCCTAGTCTGGTTCTCTCCTACCACACTCTGCAGTTTTATCCCAGGCAGTGTTGTGATAAGGTTTCTCCAGGGCAGGTCACCCAGAGCTGAGGACAGCTGATTTTCAGGTCATGCCTGTCCCAAAAAGCCTTTTAGGGCATCCCCAGAAAACCTGTTCTAGCCCTGCTTCTTGCCTCAGTACAGAGCAGCTGGGGGACATAAACTTAACAGCCTGCTCTCCTATGTTCCCCAAGGAAAGAGCTACGACGAGACGGTGGATGTCTTCTCTTTCGGGATCGTTCTCTGTGAGGTGAGCTCTGGCGCACGGGCTAGCCTGGAGCAGCAGGCCTCGCAGTCCAGCCCTGCCTTGCCTCAGAAGCAGGTCTCCTCTTGGGGATGAATAGTTGCCCATAAAATCAAAGTACAGGGTTTTGTGGATTATATATAGCTTCTCATGTTTGCCACATTCAAGTCTCACCATTCTGATGAGAAAGAATGAGCAGGTTTTTTCAGTTGGGAACACTGAGAGCAGAAAGAGGCCGTGGCTTGCTCGTGGTCACTTAGCCAGTAAGGAAGAGGTGAGACTTGGAATTCCAGTAGGAGAGGTAGGATAGTGTTCATGAGGCTGTCCATCTCACTCGGGCAGATGGAACCCCTTCCAATCCCTCTCTGCTCCTCCTCTCCAGGCCCTGGTGGTCATCCCACCCTATGCCCAACAAGTAGAAGTAGCCACTCCCAGAAGTTCCAGCTCCATACCAGGCACCCTGGGGCATAGAGTGAGTCCTGGAAAGATTCCTTTTTCAGGAGCTCAACAAGGTGGAGTTAGCAGTTTTCCTTGAAGCATTCAATCACACACATTCAAAGGCACATGTAATTCTAACAAAATTGTAGGTGGTAGAGACAAGGGATAGTTAAATATCCTTAACAAGGGATAGTTAAATATTCCTTTTTAAAAGAATTTGCCAAAGGGTGCATGCACTCACTGGAAAGAGAAAGAAAGCACTCTCTATGGGAATGGTCACACTACAGTCCCTTGTCCTCCATCTCTCCCTTTCGGGATTTTGGGCAGCATGCACATGCACCTGGTATATTTTTCAAGCTGTGGGTCTGAGACTTGAACCGCACCGTCGGCCCTGTGAGATCCAGCTGCCTGAGCCACCACACCACTGGCTGGCCCCAAAATTATTCTTAACAGATATCAATTGAGCACCTACTATGAATAAGGATTAGGCTGGCACCACGTTTCAGATATGAAACAAACCTAGCACTCGCCTCACAGAACCTTAACTCTGGCAGATTTGGAGAGACAGGGTGCTCTCCAACCTGGATTTCCACTACTCCCCCGTCTGCCCATCCTTTCTGTCCCTTGCCATATATCTGCAGCCTCTGTGGTCCGTTCTAATCAACCATCTTCTCACCTACAGATCATTGGCCAGGTATATGCAGATCCTGACTGCCTGCCCCGCACACTGGACTTTGGCCTCAACGTGAAGCTTTTCTGGGAGAAGTTTGTCCCCACAGACTGCCCCCCGGCCTTCTTCCCACTGGCTGCCATCTGCTGCAAACTGGAGCCCGAGAGCAGGTTGGTATCCCACCCTTTTCTTCCAGCTCATAGGATCCTGAGATGCTTATACCAGCCTCAGGCCATCCTCAAGTCCTTTCCATGCACAGGGGTGGCAGAAGCCATGAACCTAAGGAAGTGGCTGTCAACCAGTGAAGCAACCCAACAACTTTTGCTACAAGGAATGTGCATTCACTACAGAGAGAGAGAGAGAGAGAGAAAGCCTCCAGGTCTGAGATTCCAACCACAGTCAGCCATGTTAGAATTCAATGCGTTAACCACCACAACACTGCTGGCCTACCAAATAATCTTTTTTTTTTCTTTTTAACTATTACTTATTGAGGCAAGTAGGTGGTGTAGTGGTTAAGGCACTAGACTCCTACATGGCTGACCTTGGTTCGAGTCCCAGACCCAATGGCATGAAACTCACACTGGGCTCACATGCATACATGCCCCAAATCCCGAGAGCAGCATGGAGAAGGGATTGTGGTGTGGCCATCCCTAGTAGGGGGTGATTTATCACTTTCCCTGTCTCTTTCTTTTTGTCTCTGGTGAGTGTATATGCCCTGTAGCAAAGATCTCTCAAAAACCTTTAAAAAGAATTATTTATTTGGGCCAGCAGGTGGTGTAGTTAAAGTGCTAGATTCCCATGTGGCCAACTACGGTTTGAATCCTGGACCCAGTGGCTTGAAATTCACACCAGGCGTGAATGTGTACATGCCCAGAATTCCAAGAAGAGAATGAAGGAGAGGAAATTGCAGTGTGGTCTTCCCCCGGGGGGTGGGAGTGCTTTCTTGCTTTCTATCTCTCTGTCTCTCTAACAAGCATACAGGGACCAGCAGTTAGTGTAATGGCTATGTTGCTGGACTCCCACATAGTCGACCGTGGTTCACGTCCCAGACCCAGTGGCTTAAAACTCATGCCGGGCGCGTGTGCATGCGTGCCCAAGATCTCGAGAGGAGAATGGAGGAGAAGGGATTACGGCATGGCCATCCCCCCTGGGGG